GGCGGATGGACCCCGAAGGGACCCCCTACATCAACCACCCGATCGGTGGGCGCGCAGCCCCGGGAGTAACCTCAGCGGCGCCGGGGGACGGGGGTGGGACCGCGCACCTCACTGAGCACCTGCTCTGCACCCAGCTCTGTACCACGCTCTGTGGGTGATGCAGCCGCAGACCATCCGGGGTGGCGGGCATGGCTGTTCCCTGTGGACGGCTGACACCCAAAGAGAGTCAAGGACATGCCCGAGGGACACCCAGTGAGTGAGGGGCCACATCTGGCTCCAAAAAAATCCCACCAACACGCGGGCTGGGACCCCCTCCGGTCTGATTTCCTGCTCTGCCCGCCAGGTGTGGCTCGGATCCTGACCCACGAGGCGGGAATCACCGACATTGCGGTGTTACAGGTAACGTTTCCCTCCTCCGCCCACAGGCAGGCGGCTGGGGTGGGGACCGGCGCCCCATTCAGCTCTAGCGCCGCAGGGCTAAGTGGGAGCCTGTCCCCAGGCGGCCCTGCTCCATGACACGGTGGAGGACACGGACACCACCCTCGATGAGCTGGAGCTGCACTTCGGGGCGCAGGTGCGGCGGCTGGTGGAGGAGGTGACGGATGACAAGACGCTGCCGAAGCTGGAGAGGAAGAGGCTGCAGGTGGAGCATGCGCCCCACAGCAGCCCGGGGGCCAAGCTGGTGAAGCTGGCGGACAAGCTGTACAACCTGAGGGACCTGAATCGCTGCACCCCAGAGGGTAGGAGCCCCCCCCTGCTCTGGGGGGACAGGGAGGGCCCATCTTCTAGAGGCCTAGGTGGCTCTGTTCCTCTGGGGGCGGCGGGGTAGCGGGGAGGGAGGGAAAGCCTGGCGTTCTGTTTAATTCCCCAAACCCGTGGTGGGCAAACTGCGGCTCGCGAGCCACGAGCCGCAGTTTGCCGACCACTGCGGCCCAAACTAGTCCCTACCACACCGCTCTGGTCTGCTTTCATGGGGCAGAAATACCGGAGCTGGGCCAGATTTCAAGACAAATTCTTCCACCAAGCCCTGCAGGGAGTCGGCTGCCATTCCACGGGCCGTGTTCTGTCGCTTCCCACGCAGGGTGGTCGGAGCATCGGGTGCAGGAATACTTCGAGTGGGCGGCGCAGGTGGGGAAAGGGCTGCAAGGCACCAGCCGGCCGCTGGAAGAGGCGCTGCAGCAGCTGTTCAAGGAGCGGGGGCTGGCGCTGTGAGCGGAGCCCGGAGCCCGGAGCCGTCGGGTGGCGCAGCTTCCAGCCCTGCCCGGGCCGGAGGGGACTCATTCTCCAGCCTCGGGCGCCTCTCCACCCTCCGTGGTTCACTCCACCAGCGGCCCAGAGCATTTGCCCCTTCCCACCCTGAAGGCCTCCTGCCAAGTAAGCTGAGCCTGGACTGTGGGGGCCAGGCGCACCCCGTCCACTTCCGATGCATTCACTGCCCTTCAGGCCTTGGGTCCGTTTGCCATTTGCCAGGTGGGATCTCCGGTCCCTCCGGCCCCTCGGGCTATACAGACACGCGTTGCAGAGTCATGATGGAAAATAAAGCATTTCGGGTCGAGTTTGAGCTGCTGCTCCTTCTCCAGGCTCTGGGGTGGGGGACCGGCAGGTGCAATTCCCGCCCTGAGCCAGGTCCCCCGGGTTGAGGACCTTCGCCTCTCGGCCTGGTTTCCGGTCGGTGAGAAAAGTGGTGAATTCTCGGGGTTCCATAGCGTGACGTGCCTGAAGGAGCCTGACAGATGCCCAGTGAATGGTGGGCGTCCTCGTTGGGAGAGTCGGGCCAGCGGGCAGGTGTATTGGAAAGGCGCGCCGCCCGCTCGCTCGCAGCTCTGCCCAGCGCGGAGCGGCCACGGGATAGGCCCGAGTCGCAGCATGTCACCTGGTTGCTAAGCGACAGGGAGTTCCGGCTGCTCCGGAAGCGGCCCCTCCCACATAGCCCGGGGTGGGCGGGACCTGGGAGGCTGCGGTGCTGTGAGTGGCATGTGCGTGGGGGGCGGGCGTATGGCAGGAGGAGTGTTTGGTTCTGCGGCGCCGCGGAGACTTATGAGCCCGTTGGAAAGGGCGTACCTCGGAGACCGGGACATTGTTAGGTCACAGCCACTCCGTTCTGGGACAGGATGGCTTTTCACCCCAAGAAGGCCCCGTGCACTCTCTGCAGGGGAAAAAAGGGGGGCCAACAAAATGAGGACTTCAAAAGGAAATGAGTTTGCCCCGGCTGGTGTTGCTCATTGGTTAGAGCCTCGATCCGCCTACTGAAGGGTCATGGGTTCGATTCCCGTTCAAGAATGGCAGGTTTGCCCTGGCTGGTTTGGCTCAATGGATAGAGCCTCGGCTGTGGACTGAAGGGTCCCAGGTTTGATTCTGGTCAAGGGCATGTACCTTGGTTGCGGGCACATCCCCAGTGCGGGGTGTGCAGGAGGCAGCTGATCAATCCTTCTCTCTCATTGATGTTTCTAACTCTATCCCTCTCCCTTCTTCTCTGTAAAAAAAACTGGCCCTGGTGGGGGCAAGGGGACGTGTCAGAGGCAACCAATTGATGTCTCTTTCACATCGGTGTTTCCGTCTGTCTCTCCCCCTCCCTTCCACCCTAAAAATCAATGGAAAAAATATGAAGACTAAAAAATTAACAAAATAGCAGGTTTGATCCCTTGTGTGAGAGGCAACCAACTGATGTGGCTCTCTCACATTGACATTTCTCTCCTTCCCTCCCTCCTGTCTTAAAAAAATTAGTGGAAAAAAATATCCTTGGGTGAAGATTAAAAAAAGAAAAATCAATGGGGGGAAATATAACCTCTGCTGAGGATTAACAAGAAGGAAATGGGTTTCCGGACAGTCCCAGATAAACCCATCGAGTTCAGTGTAATCCTCTTAAGGCCGTGCAAGCTGCAGTACTTTTTGGAGATTTGGGATTTTTTTTTTTATTATTAGTTTTTTCAGGGGGTGAGATTACAAGATGTTAAAAACAATATTTACCAAATTTGAAAAATAATTCTGCAGTTTTAAGTGGTTTCAATTTAAGTCTCAGGACATTTAAATAAATATAAACCCCTTCTGTATCTTCAGAATGAAAATATAAAGAGACCGCCCTAACTGGTTTGGCTCAGTGGATAGAGCGTCGGCTTGCGGACTGAAGGGTCCCAGGTTCGATTCCGGTCAAGGGCATGTACCTTGGTTGTGGGCACAACTCCAGTAGGGGGTGTGCAGGAGGCAGCTGATGGATGTTTCTCTCTCATGATGTTTCTAACTCTCTATCCCTCTTCTTTCCTCTCTGTAAAAAAAATCAATAAAATACATTAAAAATATATACATAAAGAGACCATCAGGAGTTACTTGATGTTTTACAAACCTCACTGTATGTCATGTTCTTTATAAATAACCAGATAAGTGGGCTGGGGAGGGCAGGGGTTTCTCTCATTCTATGGAGAAGAAGAAGACTCATTAATCATTAAATAGATCACATAGTGACGGGCCCAGGACCAGCCCTCTCTGGGTCTGCTGTGCTGCTGGGCCCCGTAACCAGGCAAGAGTGACCTCAATCTTGGTCACTCTAACCGCTGGACAGAGGAGAGCGATCAGGTCTGAAGTGGCCAGTGGATCTGGACTGAGTCTGAGGCTCCTTAGATAAACTGACCTGAGCCAATATAGTTAATTTTTTACAATTATTTACAAAAATTTAAACCATCCGAAACTTACAAGTTGGAAGTACGGGGTAAGTAACTTTTCCCCCCTGAAACCACTGGAGTTCAACTTGAAGGTGAGAGTCACCCAGAAGCCAAGTCAGATCTCTGCCCGGGCCTGGCCCACCCCGCGTTGGAGGACGTAGATCTTAGTTTGAATCTGCCTTTTCATGGTTCCCACCAGCCATACAGCCCTCCCTTCTTTTTTTTTTTTAAATATATTTTATTGATTTCAGAGAGGAAGGGAGAGGGAGAGAGAGAGAAACATCGATAAATGAATGAATGCAGCAGGTGACAGATCTTGGACATCCTCCTCCTGTGACCGGCTTCTGTCCTCCATCCCCTCTGATTACTCCTGGGTGGCTTTCTTTGCCCCTCCCCCCACCTCTAAACACTGGTGTTCCACCCTCCCCTCTGCCTGGCTCACCTACACTGACAGCTTTACCTGTTGTCCTTGATCCAAAGGGCCCCCCATCCACCTCACAGCCCAGAGCCCTGAGTTGTCACATGTCAGGCCCAGGTCGCCGGAGCTCAGCTCCACAGACCCTCATCCCGGCATTCACGCCGAGGGAGCAGCCTGCCAGGACGGGCCACAGAGCTGGAATGCCAGCACGCGATCCTGGTGAACCCGGCTGCTCCCTGCGCAATGCTGCCATATGGTTCGAGGAGGCCAGTGCGTAGGAGTAAACATGTTCACTCCCAGCAGATGAGTAACGTCTAAGGCCTCCCAAGAGCCTTTATTCTGCTGACTTTGTAGGGGCTTCACAGATTCTCCCTTCTTTTGATTACACAGTATGATAGCAAACAACACCTGCAGCCCGGCCAGCACTGCTCAGTGGTTAGCGTCGACCTAGGAACCTGGAGGTCAGGGTTCGATTCCCGTTCAAGGGCACATGCCTGGGTTGCAGGCTGGATCCCCAGTGTGGGGCGTGCAATGATTCTCATCACTGATGTTTCTATATCCCTTTCCCTTCCTTTCTGAAATCATTAAAAAATATATATTTTTTAAAAACACACAAAACACCTGCTATGCTGTAATTGCTTGGCATCCTTTACTAACATTACAGCTCATGTTTGTGGGGCTCCTATATGCACTGTGCTAAGCCCTTCACAGAAATCTCATTTCTTCCCCGTGAGAGGCAGGGCTCCCTGGGCCCTGGGCGGCCTGAAGCGTCAGGTAGCTCTTAGCAGGCCCAGTGGCTCTCCCTCAGGGCCCCACAGCAAGCTTGCCCCCTAATCGTGCTCACCCATTTATTTATTTTGTCAATCCTCACCCGAGGATATTTTCCCATTGATTTTTAGGAAGAGTGGAAGAGAGAGGTAAAGACAGAGAGAAACATCGATGTGAGAGAAACACATCGATTGGCTGCCTCCTGCAGGAGCCCTGACTATGTGCCCTTGACAGGAATTGAACCCGGGACCACAGAGCCAAACTGGCTAGGGCAGCACGTTCTTTTTGAAGACAACTTGTTAACATTTTTCAAATTTTTACATGTACACACATTTCAATGGAAAAAATCTTATATTTTTAACCTTGAATATTTTGTGGTAAAATCTTTCTTTTCCCTCATTATATCATTTCCCTTATTATAAACCTTTTAGGTTTCATGTCATGTTTATAACAGGCCATCCCCCACCAGAGGTTTGAAAATATCCCATATTTTCTTCAGTAGTTTTATAGTTTAGCTTTATTATTTTTTCCCTCTGGAACTAATTTTTGTGGAAACTGTGAGGTAGAGATCTAACTCACTTTCACAGATCCAGTTGTCCTAAAGCACTGCTTATTAAATAACCCATCTTTCCCCCCCAAATACTCCTTCTATCCTAAATTCCCAAATACCTGGGTCTGTGCACGTCCCGTCCCCCCCACCTCCCCAGTCCACGTGCCTGCTCCCACTCCAGGTCACACGCGCATCCTTTGGGGAGCCCCGGAGGACAAGTGCCCGCCCCCGCCCGGCCACCCCACGCCCCCCGACTCATCAGGACTCAGACATCTCGGTGTTCGCACACATTTACTCTTCCAAATGCACTTTAGGACCTGTCGTATTCCAGAAAGTACCATGAACAGCATGAACGTACGGGCTGTGTGGAGGGAGCCAGTCTGTCCAGGAAACGGATGTGTGTTCATTTGGGTCAACTTACAGCATGCGGCCCACGGGTCTCCCGCTGACGCGCTTAGATCTTACAGGTCGGCCCTTCTATCGCCTACAAATAACGACAACTGCAACTTTCTCTTCTCCGTCCTCCGCCGCTGCAGGGCCAGCGGAGCCAGGACTTCCCTAAGGAACACCGAGCCCTCGGCCAGTTCAGTTTCCGGCGTGAACGGGACGCCCGTGGGGCCGGGCTCTGTAGAATGCCATCGCCTGCTGGTTCTGAGAGAGACCTTCACCTAGATGAGCACGTCTCTTTCTAAGCTTAGGAGTTTTAATAAGGGATAGGTCGTAAATTTTGCCAAATGTTGTTTCGGCGTCTACAGGGACTATCACAGCATGTTCTCTGTTATTCGAAGCTGAGATGAAGGCCGGAGAGCAGCTGCAGGGCCTGTCACTCACACGTCCCTGGTCCCTGTGCCGGGACCGGGTTCTCCCGGAGACACGCGGGGAGGCTGCGAGGCCTCCGCTCGCCCGGGCACAGGGCACCTGGGGCGCCGGGCCACACGCCCCCACGGCTGGAAGGGGCTGGAAGGGGCTCGCGGGGACCGTGGTGTGCAGAGGACAGGAACCAGAGAGGAGTCCACAGGGGGGAGGGCCCCCACGCCCCTGCCGCCCCCACCCCAGATCCACACACAGACTGGGCGCCCAGTCTGGGATGGGGATTTTGCACCTGCAGTGCCCTGACCTCCGGCCATGACAGTCTCCAGGGCGTCCTCCTGCCAGGGAGCACTCAGAGCGGAGTCCTCACAGAAAGCGGGAGTCCTCCTGCTCCTCCACCTGCTGCCGGCTCGGGCCCCCATCCCCTCCTCCCAGCACCCCTCTGCTCCTGCTCGTCACCCCGGGACACAGTCCCCACACGACCACGGGATCCCCCGGGACCCGCCGGCCCTGGGGCTTTCAATTTATAACCACCACATAAACAGGGCTCCAATACAACATCAGTGGATTCCATCAGAAAGAACTTAAAAATGCAAACTCTAGGAAGAGGAGGACTTGGAGAAGACAAGAGGGGAGACAGACAGGACACTAGAGGTATTGCAGACTTTAGCAATGACGACAGTACAGATATTAAACGCAGCCCAACTCCTAACACCAAATGAAATAAATTCTCACACCAACAGCCTTTTTAACTCAATCTCCTTACCCAATTACGTGGAGGCCCTTCCCCTCCGGCCACAGGAAGCCTAGCCCAGGCGGAGGCGGAAGGTGGCCACCTCCATGGGCTCCAGGGCGACGTCCGTGCTGTTGGAGGGCGAGGACAGCGGGTACAGCAACGTCAGGGAGGTCGGCTGCAGGAAGCCCACGTCCAGGTCGCGGAACAGGCTCCC